CACACACTCGAAATGCGATTTTCATTGCAAATAATATGCTTTTTTCAAACTTTTAAGTTGTTATTTTTATACTATAATCTACAATAATCTAAAGCTAATATAGGTCATAGTAATAAATAAATACGTGTAGGATTAAATTAACTTAAGTTTTTAAAAAGCATCTATTTATCATCGAAAATTATACTATTGTCTATTTAAGGCAATAATTCTAAGTTAGAATGCAAATTTAATCAAATACAATAATGAATAACATTTATATAAATAAGTTAAGGATCACAAAATGTAATAAACGTGTTTAAGATAAATAACTTTTGTACAGTGTCAACTAAATATTATTTAACCATGTTTTAAATTTTAATTAACTGTATGTTATCATATTTTTTTAAATAATTATATTATTAAGTTATTACTAGAGAAAATTGTACATATTAATTTGATAGATTATAATAAATCAATGAATCTATATGATAAACTATTGTATAAATAAATACATTTTTTTAAAACAGTTTTTGCAACAAAAAACCAAGTTGATTAACACGAATGCAACCAACTTTAAAATAACAAGCACCTATTCTGATAAGTAATTTATTTATTAAAAATATTTAGTTATACAAAGCTATTTAATAAAAAATAAATAAGTAGCTTATGAACTTCATTAATATTCATTGAATATATTTTATTTTCAAAATAAAATAAGAATAAACCTAATAAGTAAAACTACACGTGACGACTGTCGAGCACGTAGGTGTACGAGGTTATTTGTAATAATTACGTCTGAGAAAGTATTATCTAGTTTGTTTCGTGTAAAACGTTTAGATTAGAGTTGTATACATTTTAGCTAGGTTTTTCGTCACAGGTATATTTGAAATGACGTACTTAATTGTTTTTTAAAATAATTTTTTCATTAACACAATAGTCATTTTAATAACAATTCAGTTAATGAAATACTAAATAATTCCAATGGGGTAAAAATAACAGCAGAACAAAAATTACACCTGCTACCTTCTATACGGCCGTTTACATCAGACAATCGTAGTCGTTGTCAACAAGATATAATTCGAATGCAGACGAAAAATACGAAAAAGCACGCGGGACGAACTCTTCTCGTTTAGAGCGCACCCACCAAACAAAACAAAAAAAAAACAGGCAAAATGCAATAATATATGAAAAGATAATTTTTTTTTTATCGACCAGACAATAGGAATTTTTATTCACGAATCCGGTTGATCAGGGGGGTTACCGCCAAACCGTGTCCTTGAAAGATGCCAGCAGTGTTATTGGCCCCGAGCAACCACGGTCATCGCTCTCCTGCCCGGCCGGCCGGCAAAACGATTGAATGACGTGCGCCAAGAAGAAAATTTAAACGCGCGTGCGACGACGAAAAAACGTCTGTCGTATACTCCGAAAAACGGGAGGCAAAAAATAACATAGTACATACAATTTCGTTGTATTGGTTAAAAAGTGAACGGGGCGGGGTAAAATAATATCAAAATGCATCAGCACCGGTTGTTTCCGACCAAGGTTTCTTCTTAGTTTTGAATTTTTTTTTTTGGTCTTCTTCCTCTTTTGTTATACTGAATAATGTACACGCTGTGCTATTGTTGTGCCTTGTGCGTCTTTCTCCTTTTTCACCCACAGCGTGTCCAGCAACCAGCACGTAATTTTTGTTCATATCTTCTATATTGTTATATATTTTACAGCCACATACATGTTCGATAACATAATCTTTTTTCCAGCCAATACATGTATTGTAATATTTATAGTAGGTATTAGGTAAATAAATAATGGTAATGCGAATTGTTATAGTTATATATGACAGAAACAGTCCTTATTTGAGGGGGTTAAGGGTCGTAAATATTACAAAATGTCGACCTCCAATTGGTCACAGAAGAAAATGGAAAAAATTGTTGTCCTAAAGAAATTCCAAAACAAGATATTATACATCACTATTATCAGCAATCGTCGGTTACGTAACTATACATACATTTATTATTACGGTTAGAAACGTGTAAAATAAAAATAATGCATTATAATATTTTAGCAGAGATGATCGGCGAAAATATAAATGCCGTAACCACACGAGATGGATCATAATAGCAATAGCTATGACAGAGTTCGTTAAACCGATGATACAACCGGTTTGTGGCCTCCTAAACTGCTAGTCTGTGTCTATAATAAATCGGTAACGATCTCCTTCTCCATACCATTTCTATACATTACATGCAGTGGCCGGGAACATGGAAAAAATATTATCCTTGTAAGCGTAATTTTTTAAAATTTTACAAATCACACGAAAAGTATTCGACAGGAAGTGCTATTACACAAAAACTATTATTAGTGTGTAAAAAAATCGTGCGCAAGGTCAATGTATCGGAAATTTGTGAATAACCCGTTCCCGCGTTTATGGCCATTAATTAAAATAACTATATAATTCAATAAACGTGCGTCCAAAACGACGGTTTTTTTGGTTTTAACGTTTTCTACGGTTACAGTAGGTATTGCAAATATAATGTATAACGTGATACATTTTTAAATAACATCAGTATAATAATAATTCGAGTAATATTTATACAAAAACCTAATTGTTTTTATTAAATATCGCGACAAAGAAAATTGTGAAAATATTACAGAATAAATCAGTATATATACTGACAAGTGACAATAATTATGAGTAAAATGCGCGTACCAAATATAGCAGATAATGCAGATAATATTATTATGCTAATTCTGTAGCACATTACTAAATGATGCATTATTGTTAATAAATGCCATTTTTTCATATTTAAATTACTTGAATCAGTACTAGTATTTAATCTATAACAGAAATATAGCTTTGGATAGGTTTTATTCAGATCCTTAATCTTAATGGTTTAGTTTATTAAAATTTTATAAAATACACAATAGGCATTTATCATTTATCAACATTAATTTTAAAAGATTTAAACAAACGGTCGAGTTATAAATAAATAATAAATTAATCAAGATAGAAAAAACTTTAAAATTTAAATTTACTGATACATTGATCATTTAACAATTAAAAGGGGAAGTTCTAATGAAAAACCATATAAATAATAATTCTATTACTCAATTGTAAAAATAAAAGATTTTATCATGATGGTAATCAAAACGTTTTGCATTACACACGACAGAGAATTAATATTAAAAACATCAAGCAGTTGAAAAATATGTTTACTCACGTATGCAATTAAAATCACAAGTTACATAGGTAAAAATGAATAATTGTTACTTTGTTACTCACTTTATTGTTTCTATAATTCCCAGTGCACCATCGTGCTTGTCCTAAAACAAAAAATAATACAATCGTTAATATCGGATAGTAATTTTAGTACCTATTAATTACACTATTGGTTTTTAAAATGATAATGACAAATTCACAGAAGCCAGAAGTTCTCCCCCCACAAAAATTCAAAACTCATTCATTCACGAATTGTTAAATACTTGTAATTGTTATGCTAACATTTAGTACTAACGATCCATGATTCAACAAATAACACAAAAACGTCATAGCTATTACGTTATGATAATATTATCTAGAATGTAGTATTAATAACGATAAGCTGACCAAAAATAGTCATTACAATCAATAATTGTTATCGATGGATTACCTTCATGCGCGTTTTGACAGTAGAACCGTTTACAATACCAACCTATCACGGATAGCAATGTTAGCATTTCTAATTATTACACCCAAAAGTTGTCTCGTAAGCGCAAGTTTTTCATAGAAAATAATGTATTGCATCTAATACATGACGAAAAAATCAAAAAATAAATAAATAGGATACCTCAAATAATATTCGAACGGATAATTATGATGCTATCATATCGAATAGAAAATTATATACATACGTATATATGAATATACATACACTCACACACACATAATACAACTCTATCGGGACGTGTACAGCAGAGTTCATTGAACCGCCATCACAACACAAATCGACATTATCACGGATCAGTTACGTTTTCATCGTTACAGCGTAACGTTGACCACGAATATTTGTGTTTGGAAAACGCCAACGGTTATCATTTTGCGTGTCTTTGCCCGCGAATAGTGGTTAACTTGTCGTTATCCGTCAGCGGCATAGCTCCGCCGTCTCGGATGAGCGTTACCATCATCACACCGCGCGAAATGTTATCATAGTCATTACTTACCGATCCTCTGCCTATGATCATAGGCCATTTGTAAACTACGGGTTCTGAGCCCACAGGACTGTGTAATCGCAGTTCCATTTCGACTCTGCTCGAAAATACTGGTATACGGAACGCGCACCAAAACCACTAATAAGCACTAAAACTGCACCAACGACGAACACGGTCGCACTAGACTAGCGCGCGCCACAACACACCGCGACGAGCGACGGCCGATGATATATTAAAATCGCGATACTCTCTAACGAACCGACGATCGGAACGGAGATGATCGGAACACGGACGGCAGCGGTCGCGACATTTTTCGGTGGGAGGATGAAAAAAACACACGGAAGATAATTAAATACGACACCACAAACAATGCGCGACGAGCAAGACGATGTTGTGAAGATGCGACCGTGATGGACGATGGTGCACCGACTGGCCCGAACACGATTTTACACTACTTTCCCGAATGCTTCCGCCACCATCACGCTGACCGTATCCGTCACGTACGTCGGCCCAACACAAATAAACGCACTTTGGCCATAAGATGGCGTCTCGGTCTGACGATGTGCGTCTCGATGTGTAGTCGTTGTTTGTGTGTGTGTACATGTGCGTAAGTGTATGAGCGAAGATATACGGTGCCACCAATCGTCGGCCGTCTGCTGGCATGGAGGAAATACAAGCCCGTCGTATTGATTACACCATGCACGACGTTAATTTGTTAGACAAGCGAATGCCGCCATGGGAAATCAAGCGTTTTCTCGAATGGCAGCACTGGTTTTCTCCATATCTCTGCGGCTGCTTTATTTACGATTTACCTCGTTTACGGCAATCGGCGTTTTTGACATTCATATTCATCTATTGCTGTTTACTGTTTAGCAATTACTATCCATTATTTGTTCACCTGCCTAGTGGTACGATACCGATTATTCCATTCCAAACATTTAATATTTAGATGAAGATATATGCTCGTGTGTAAATTCGACTTTTATGCAAGGAGTGTTGAAGATCTGAAGAATTTGTAGAATCCAAACTTGAACGTTCCCAGCGGTTAAATGGCAGGAGAATTCTATTTGCGTTATTACATAGGACACAAAGGTACGTAAAAGACTCGCGTTTTGGTGTAGGCAGACCTCTTAAACACAACTGTTGTTTAAAAAAAAAATATGATTGTGTTTGGATATTATGGTCTGATATGTTAATCTAAATTTTTTCATTGTTTTTAAGTGACTAATCTTGAATTTATACTAATCAATCATATGGTTTGCTGTTTAGATCTGAGAATGAACATGTTTTAATAGTAAAAATAGTTTACCAATTATTTAAGTAAGGTTAATCTATAGCAGGGGTCGGCAATTAAATTCTATGGAGGTCCAGAAAATAAAAAAAAAAATGTCGAGGGCCAGTAAAAACTAAAAACTTAGATATTAGTTAATAATTGTTGTGTTATCGCAGCTATTATTGTAAATAGCAATAAACGATAAAAACCATCGTAATCTCTAAATATATTATGAAACAGACAAAATATACATTATGTGTGAAAAACCGGCATTATTAAAAAAAAAAAATATTTTTTGTGGTCCAATTATTTATCCTTCGCGGGCCGCCTATTGCCGACCACTGGTCTATAGTATAATAGTGTCATGTTAAAAGTTCACATGATGATATTATTCCTTGATAATATAACTGTTTTAACTTATAAATCTAAGGATACTTTTATTTTTTATCTGTTATGCTAAGCATCATCACGTACAATTGTAGCGATTGATCAAAAATTATCATAACATTTTTCATAATCATATTAAATTTTAATTGTGTGTTCTATGAATTTGTTCTATTAATATAATGGTCATGTGAAATATGTATTTACTAATAAGATAACTTGTCTTAAGTTAAAAACAACTATATTTATTTATTAATATTGTTTTCTATAAGTATCATAATGAATCTTGCCTTATCCATTTTAAAAATATTCACAATGTAAAATGCATTACCTATTTTTCTGCACACTTATAACTTCTTTAATATATAATGTATAATTGTATATAATACACGGGTACTTAATAATTAAAATAATTTATAGTTTTAACATAAAGCTAAAATTAATATTATGTATATCATTTTTTAATAATTGAGAACATAATTTATGAAGTAAATGAAAATTTTAATTTTCTAGGAAAGTTTGGACATGAATTTTTGGAATTTGAATTTCGCCCTGATGGTAAACTACGATATGCCAACAACTCTAACTACAAAAATGACACAATGATCCGTAAAGAAGTATATGTTCATCAACCTGTAATTGATGAGCTCAAACGAATTGTATCTGATTCTGAGATTATGCATGAAGACGATGCTCTATGGCCACCACCAGATAGAGTTGGAAGACAAGAGTTGGAGATTGTAATTGATGATGAACATATATCATTCACCACTTCTAAAACTGGATCATTATTAGATGTTAACACATCCAAGGATCCAGAAGGCCTCAGAACATTTTACTATTTAGTTCAAGATCTTAAATGTTTTGTATTTTCATTAATATCATTGCATTTCAAGATCAAACCAATTTCATAAAGAGATTTTTTGATGAATTAATTAAAATATTTAATTTAATGTTCTATAACAAAAAAATATTTAGCCATTTTCTTTTGTTCAACTTTTATACATTCATTACATTAAGTTTTTTAAACTGTTAACAAATTAAAAAAAAGCCACTAAGGATTACTTATACTGATTTAATATTATATACTTTATTATTTTAAAAACACTAGTAATTTAAGATGACTCAAAAGTTATTAATTATAAATATTGAATCATTTTGATATATTTTTCATTTTATATTCACTACAAATAAAATAAAGCAACAATTTTAAAACAGAAAAAAATCTTAACTTTTATTATTACCTATCAACAAAATATTATAAATATTTGGCATTGTCAGATTTTTAAATTGTTAAGTCTCAAATATTGAAATATAAGAATAGTAAAAATTATTATTTATTATGTTTTTGATATGTTCACTGGCCAGACATTTTTAATACATGTGAATCATATTTGAGAATGTATATATTAATTAATTTTAAATTAACTAGTAAATGGTGATTTGAACAACGTTTAAAATATTTGGTTAACAACTAAGTACTAGTTATAAAAATTATATACATGTATCTGACTAAAAACATTGTATTCAATATATTGATAATATTTATACCTATGTTCAATCGTTAATATAAGATTTTAGTATTTGTACAGTGTACATAGCAAATATGCCTCAACGTTTAAAAAAATTCATGTTATGTGAGGATAGTATATTTCATATATTGTATTTCAATATAATAATAATATATAAACTTATATCCATTACTTATTTATTTTTATTCTTTGATTAAATTACCTATATTTTTGTCTCACTTTAAAATATTAATTCCGTGTTAAAACAGAGTATTAAAATAATTTTTCAGAATTTGTATTGAAGATTTTTTTATAATATTTCAATTAAATAAGTCTTAAAACACATTACAACTCAACATTAGTTTGTTTGAATTTAGCTAATTTATTCCTTTATAATTTTACATATTATATCTTATAAAAATTATAAAATAATAAATATTTTTCATTTGACAATAAAAACCATTTCAAGCTTGATCTTGTATAAGTAAGAAACTTAGTATAGTTTTCTCCTTAATGATAACCTAAATAATTTATTATATATAATTCTTCATATACAATTTTTTTTTTAAATAATACTATTCACAAAAATTTGAATGATAAATGTATATAATTCATGATTAATTATTGAACATGAAAAAAATAAAATTGGATTGTAAAAGTTAAAATTCTAGTAATTATATGACACAATTGTTTAGGAAATACCTTTTTTTTAAGTATTAAATTATTCAGTTACTGTTATTTAAATTTTGAAAATGTTTGATAAATTCTTATCTATAATTGTATGATTTTTCATTTTCATTTTCCTATAACTATGTTGTTAAAAACATTTCTTACCTTGTTACAATTTTTCTATAATATATTATTTATGTTCAATCAATCCCATTTCAATTTTAGGCTTGTAAATTGCAATACTTCATTTCTGGTATCTGTTTAGTGATTTTTGCTGCATTTTGAAATAAAATTTTTATTAATTTGATGTTTGAGCGTACAAAGTAGTGTATAATTTGGCCTTCGACAATATAAATCATTTTACATATGTAATATCTTCGTTCCTCAATCCACTTGAATGTGCCTAAGCTTTGGCTAAATAATCTGAAAGTGTATTTATTGATTTTAGTAAGTAATTTGTAAAAGTATATCTAGTTCTAGTTGTCAGTTTAGTTATAAATAATAATTCTATTTCATCATTGCATGCTTTCAAGTTAATTTCATTTACTTATATTTTTTTCTAACATTCGTGTGATAAAAAAAAAAAAAAAAAATCAATGATGGATAATAATTATAACATTTTACTGAACAAATTATTTTTATTTCAAAATGGATTATTATTATTATGTATTCAACCCAGTACGTACCTACATTTAGAAATGAAACTAAAACGAATAGTTTTTGAGTTGCTTAACTTTATGTACTTATTGATTATAGAATATGTAATACGTGGAATTGTAAAAGATTTGCTATTTGGAAGCTATGCTTATAGACTAAAGTCTATAATATTTATTATCCTTGTTATAACTTATATGTAGATATTTACTCTTTAGATATACATTTTATTATAAATTTCTTATTGGTATTTTCACCAAAACCAAAAACCGTATAATAACTAGAGTCGTTATTCTTCACAGTTTAAATATCTAATTTCGTCCAAATCTAAACTATTAAATGTCTAAAAAAATGTGTTTATTTTTTTGGTTACTCTACATTTTTAACAATAAAATAATTTTCAAATTTTTGTAATTTTGCAAAATTTGAAATTCAAATGCTTATAACAGTTATAACAAAAAATTGTGCCTTTGAATTTTTAATACTTTTTAAATAACTATAGTAGAACTTATGAGGAACCTTGTATAAAATTATACTATTAACTTTCTTACTAATACTTACTTTACTAATCGACATTTTTTTATCGATATTTATAGAAAAAAAAAAAAATTGAAAAGTCTACAGAATTAATCTATATTATAAAAAAATGATGTTTCTATCATTTTTCATTTTCTATACCTACACCAAAATTATTGGACCGTTTTCAATAAAATTTATATTAATAGATTGGTTGAGACTTGGTACTCTTGTATTTTTGTATGTTCGTTTTTAACCTATATTACCTATAGATTGCAGTAGTGTACACAGGGGGGATATGGGAGATAGATCCCCCTTGGCCTTTTTTTCTTTGTTTTTAGAATTTTTAATTTTTATAGTGTTTTTGTAATGAATGTGTAGCGTTTCTATGTATAGTATAGTACTATGTTGATTCAAAATAATGATTACTTATCAATACCATATTAATATAAGATATCGTCAATCGTAGCGATGTAATGATTTATATTTGTATTGTTCGTTAGTCGTCTGCAACGGTCGAAAGTTGTCGTGCACCGTCCGTTGATCGTAATATTATTATCTATTTTATATTAAGCAATCAAATGTATTTTAAATAAGAACAAATTATAATTATTGTATCGAAAAATTGAAATATACAGTCCACTATCCACGAATAAAATACGTAGTCTTCATGGCTACAGAATGTAAAAGTTTACAAACTATTAATGTTGATCTTAAAGAAGCTACATAGTTAGTGGAATGTAATATATCTATGCTTGAAAATTTAAGAAATAACATTGAAAAAGAATTTAATCTACTATTCAAAGAAGCTGAGGTAAATATTAAAAACATAATCCTTGATAGTTGATTTGTATCAAATTTATTTGATAATCTAAATAATAATTATTTTATTTTAAACTGATTTAGAAAATGGCTACAATTTTGAACTTCAATATATCTATTAAAAGGTTAACAAAAAAACAAAAGAATCGGCCAAATCCATGTTTATTAGGTACCTAATATTCAACCAGAAAGTTATTACAGAATAACTGTAGCAATTCCGTATATTGATGCTTTCATTATAAATTTGAGAGAACGATTTTTGGATCATATTAATATTTTTGAAGGTAGGTATATTATAACAATATTAATAATTACAAATCAATATGATATATAGGTACTACAATATGTTATATCTACATTTCTTTTTCTTTAGGTTTTCAATGTTTATTTTCCAGTGAAATTGAAATTGAACCATTTAAAAAACTTGTAAATTTTTATATTAAAACAGACTTTCAAACTGTATTAGCAGAATTAAAAATGTGGAAAGAAAAACTTAAAATAATAAAAAAAAATCCTAAATCAGGATTAGAAGCACTGCAATTATGCAAACCCCCAATTTTCCCAAATATATAATATATATTATTAAAAATCTTTTGTACTTTGCCTGTGTCAACTGCAACACCAGAAAGAACATTTTCATGTTTGAAAAGGCTGAAAACATTCCTAAAGAACACTATGTCTGAAGTAAGGTGTAAATGGTTATAATATATTTTATTATTTCATACAATATAATCAATTATTTTTTTTAGACTCGACTAAATAGATTAACCATGTTATCGGTCCATTGGGAAATTCCTGTATCGGCAGATAAAGTCCTTGATATTATGTCTAGGATGAATAGAAAAATAGATATTTTACTATAAATTTAAATAATTAAAATTTTAAAATAAAGTTTTAATGAATAAATAGCATGTTCTATTTTATATTAATGTATAAGTGTTAATTGGTAAACTACAATAGTTCGAAGTTAGAAGTAAACTTTGTAAAAAATATATTTATCCCCCCCATAGATAATTCTGTGTACGCTACTGATTAGATTGCTATTATTTAAATAATCATACATGAATTTGTTTTACTATAAAAAATAATTGCCATTGATTACTGATAGTAATAAATTAATGGTTATGATTGAATGAAATCTATGTGTTTAAAATAGAAATAAGAATTAATACTTAGACCTAATCAGTATTTTGAATTGGATACAAAGTAAGATGAATATATGCTTTTAATTTAATTGCTTAGTAATCTACCTATACATTATAATACAATAATACATTTATTCTTATTTATACATAGATTATCCAGGAAATGGTTCGCGAAATAATAGTTGTCAAAAAATATTGATTATTATGCATATGTTTGACCTAAAGATGAAAACAGTCTAAAAAGAAGCAAAAGCGCATTATAAACTCTATCATATCCGTCTGTCTTCCAACAAAAACCCATTAATACACAATCTTGCTGTTCCAACCATTCCTGGCAATCTACCTAGATGTCTCAAATGTAGCTCGTGACCTTCTTGATCCCCCCCATATAAATTTAAATAATAATAATAATAACAAAAAAATTATTAAAAGAAAACTAAAAAAAATATAAATTAATAGTGAGTGTCATTAGTGGACGGCTTCTCACATAACGTATGTCATGTTCTCTATTTTTTAGATATATTAATGTATAATATATGTATCTATGTATTTTTTACTCTTTATCACATATACCTACTTATTGTGCCTATTAGGTATAGATTGTTTATTTCAAATAAAGAAAAAAAATATGCATTTGTAAACATCTAATTAAAACTATAATTACAATAATCGATATAAAATTTTCAATTGTATTTAAATTTTACCTACTGAAATTTAGGAATCTGGCAACATCTTTCATTGACGAATCAGTTAATAATATAATAAAAAAAAAAATAAGATCGATCTACTGTAAATAAGTCATTAAACCTATCAATATAAAATAAATATATTTACTTTTTCAATAAATGTATTGTACTGTAATCATCCTATTTATATATCCATCATTTACCTTAGCGGCTTAGCTGTATTTTCTTGAAGTAGCCGGTGATTATAATATTACACATTGTTATTGTCAGGGCCGTAACTACTGTTGGGTTTTATCTTTTACATTTAAAAAATATTTAATAAATAATGAAAATAGTACCTATATATTTTAATTTATAAGCATTATGCATTTCATAAATAAATAATTCCGATCGATCCTGTAATAATATTAGGTAAATATTATGAATATGAAATGTTATGTCTATTTATCTATAAATTGTATTATTATAGTTTGATGAAAATTAATTTGAAGATGAACTCATAACAGAATATTCATTCCTAATATTATAGTTTTTGCACATATTTATACATTAGATTTTAGTTTAATGGTATGATAAGAAAGAAGAATTAAAAATAAGCAAAATAATTTATGATTTTATGATTAAAAAAAGCAAGAAAAAATTCCTGATTAATTTCAGTTTGTTTATTGTATTTAAATCATTTTTACTCATCATAATATGTCAAATTTTAGTATTAAAAAATGTATTCATTTTTATTAATTTAATATTAGCAAAAATTTTGATAAAATATAATTAAAAAGATTTTTTTTTCTTATAATAGTGATACTTATTTTTGATTTAAATATACCTAATCACCTTATAATGTTTCATAAATATTTTTAATTATCTATAATTTTACTAATTTTATAACCAGCTAGTCAAAAATACCTACAAATAAAAATGTGAATTTGTAAAAAATTGAAATTACATTTATTAATGTCGATAAATAATTGTGAGGGGGAGGGGGTTATATTTTGCTACATCATATTCACGCTTACATATGTTTAAATAGATCATATTATTAGCCTATTAATTAAAATATTTAACTCTAATAAATAATAAGCAAATAAATTAATAATTTGTTTGAATGATATATAAAATTTGTTTTGGAGACTGAGTTACGAGAGTTTGGCTGAGACCAGTGGTGTAGTTATAATTTTGTTCTGGGGAGGGAGATGTAAATTGAAATTACCAAACTGGGGTATCATATTGAATAACCTTTTTTTTATAATTAAATAAGTAGGTATATACTTTTTTAAGGTTCTGGGGGGGATCTATCTCCCATATCCCCTCATGTCTACGCCCCTGGTTGAAAACTAATATGGAGTCCTATTATGACATTGATAATAATTAATAATCTAAACTACCTATTGAGTTTGTACGCGACAAAGTTATATTTAAATTAAAAAAAAAAGTTTTTTTATGAACAAAGTAGTCGGTAAAATTGTATGAGAAATAAATTACAATTATTACAATGATAAATAACAGTATAATAATTAATAAGTAATAACAGTAGTTACATAATATTTGAAAAATTTAATAGGTAATGAAAAATAAATACTTTATATTTTACTAAAATACGGAATTTTTATAGGTTTAAACTTTAATTCCTTTCTAGGCGAAAATGGAATATCATAAGATCTTTAAAATATATCAATATAACATACTTAAATACTTTATAAATTATAATAAATTGGTATGGTGTTAATAAATTACAAATAATTGAGCCAATTATACATTACTTATGATTGTAAAATTATCATTATTTAATTAACTAAAGATTTCTTTTCTTGAGCCGCTTGTCGCCGCAAGTCAGATGGTATCATGGCCGTTAGAAATGTTCCTACGATGAGCGTTGCCGACAAAAATAAATTGGCTCTCTTGTCTCCAACTGCATTAAATATCCATCCATAAACCATTGTGAAAATTATGCCAAATACTTGCACCACTGCATTTAACATTCCACTCGATGTTCCTTCGGACTCTGGGTAGGTCAGTTCGGCCGCTAATTCGTATCCGATTGCTAAATAACCGTTCATAAAAAACCTGAGAAAGTATAAACAAAAAGTTATATTTTGTTATTTGTTAATACATAAATATAATAAAAATATGATGAATAATAATTTTTTTCATTTATTTACCCAAGTAAGATTGCTGACAGATACACAACTGATATGTACCCGCAAAACAATGTATATGTGTAGACTAGCATACCAATTAATGAACAACCATACACCACCAAAGTCGTTTCTCTAAATGTATAGAATATTTCATATTAGCGTAATTTCACAGCGATTATCATAAAAAAACATATTTATAAGATTACTTAAAAAGATGAGTTCGATCCAAAACAAAACCAGACACTACTGAACCCAACATTCCTGAAAGAACGATCGATAGACCTATCCTGCCCACGTCTACAGCGTTGTCCTACAATAGGATAATAACTATTTGTTACATACATATCTTAAAATAAGTATAAGACCGAATTGATCGATCATTAATAATTATTTTAAAAACGAAATTGAATAAAAGTGTTCTGAATACTTACAGGAAAATGTGCTAATATAACTTGGTTGAGCAGGGTGGAAATAGCATAAGACGAACCGACGTTCATGCCGTATGACAGTAATAATAAAAGGAATCCATAGTTATATATCAGTCTCCACAAAGATTTAATGAAGTTTCTTGGGTCGTTGTTATAGGTCGATCTTTGATTTGCTTGTGCCAAACTTGGTGGTAATGGAGGGGATGACTTGACGACTGTCAACAGAAGAGATGATTATATGACATATTGTGCTGACGCTAATGAAAATATTTTACTGCAATGGTAATAATTAATTATTGCTAAAAGGTATACTGGTATGACAGATTTTTAGAAAATTAACGACCAATCTAAATAAGAGTGGCTATGATCTTTTTCTTAAATTTAAAATTATATTTTTTGTATTATCTGAGCTTAAAATACCAAAAGTTTTAACTACAGCATGAAACTTTTTGAAAAAAAGTTAATCACAATTCTTAATATACTTTTAACGTACATAATAAAGCGCAAGTAAAATAAATTATCGTGCTTGTTTGATCCAAGCGATATGCAGACAAAGACATTCTGAAATTACATAATTTATAAATACCTACACCGTCCACACCAGTTTAAAATAAAATAATAATATTTTGAATGATATAAACAAGCTAGCTTAAAAAAAAAAGTTCAAAAAGGATGGCCAATTGAGATGTCGAAAATTGTATTAATCGTTTTTTTAAACTTACAAAGACATATTAATAAAAACACTAATGTTGAAGTTATTGCCGTGGCGTAATACATTTTTGACAAGCCCGAGGATATATCGTACAAATCATCGCTGTCTTGAACCAGTAATGGTGGTATTAAGAAGCCCAGAGCTATACCAAACTAAAAAAAAAAACCATGTGATTATTAATAAACTACTGAGTACGCAATATACATGGTATTTTATATTTTTTACAGTTGTTAGATGGTACTACATAAATAAAACCTTATTAGCTGTTCTTAATATTTTAAAATTTAGGCTTTTACCTGATTTCCAAACACTCCAATTGAACACGCTGTAGATACTTCAGATGGGCCAAACCACACTGCTGCCAGGCGTGCTGGCAAGTTCAATATGAACACTTGCGAACTAGCCACAATTGTTTGACCTAACATGGTCATATAAAATCTATCTGGGCTGGAAGATGCGACTTTAAACCAGGCACCGATCATCGTGCCGAATGAGCCGGCTACCATAGCCACACGAAGACCCTATATAACATGAACATAATAATGTTAAAAAATTAATGATATCAGGTCAAAACACGTTTGAAAACGGTTGTCGAATGAAAGAAAAAAAATACAAAAATGGAGAAATTGTTTTATCAAATCCGAAATCCAAGTCAAAACCAGTCTTATTTGAAACTTGTAGTTTTGACAATTTTTTTTAAAGAGTCTGTTAATCATATATACATTTATGTATATTATAATATAGGTAATAATGTACTAATGAAAGTAACAGTTCTAGCAGTTCATTGTTTTTTGATTAGAAAACACATGTATTTTTTTTAAGTATGGAACAAATTTTGCATTTTACAATGAATATTTGTATTTATAATTTTTGAAGTCTTATATCTGCCCACCTAAAATTATTAGCGCGCCTAATTGTTTTTTTTTTTTATTCTATTATTTATAATTTATTATCATAATAGAGCACAGCAATTACGCACTGATACACATAGGTCGGTTTAAGTTGTAGGCGTTAGTCACATTGTCAATTACACCTAAAATAATTATAGATTATATTTACCTTTTTTTCTAGTATCCATGATGCTGGGAATATGAGTGGTATGTAGGTGACCATGTATACAATGGATGTGAAGTCGACTGTAAAACTTGACACTTTATAAAATTTCATAATCACGTTAGATATGATGCTGTACTGTATCCATTGTACAGCGCTGATCATCGAACAGAGAACAAATAGCACCAACATTAGCCATCGTCTTTTGTAAAGTTTACATTCTGTAATTATTGGCTGTAAATTATTATTCCCGGTGACTCCGCAATCCATCGTGCCGCGGGATATAATTTCTGTTTCACAAAACTGTTCACCTCGATGTCATAATTTGATTACAATATACTGTTAACAAATTTTTCAAAATTTTGTTTTAGATATTTTGTAGCATATATGAAAATAATATTTATTTATTCATGGGGAGGGGGGGTAAAGATGTACATTTTCATACTTATATAATAAAAGTTTATTGACAGAAATCATTTTTTACTCTATAAAAACGGCCGTAACACGTTTGGGTACACTATATCTCTAGAAAAATAATACGTTTGAGTACATAGGTATTGAATATTGATATAACCAGGGTTGAGATATTATAGCATTTACATATTTCTTATGAAATGCTTAATAAATAGTAGAGTAAGCTAAAAATGTGTTTTATGATAGATTAATTAAAAGAAAAGATGAATTGCAATGGAAAGAATAAAAACGAATTATTTAAATTAGAAAATAAAGAACAAACGAATAATATTAAATAAAGAAACTATAATTAAATCGATTAACGAAAACAGCAATTTAAAGTAACACAGTAAAATCTTATAATACGTATATCCATAATCTACATATTAAAATTGTAGGTACAGCTTGTTTTATGTTCACGTTATTGTTTGGTAAACATTTATTTTTATTATGTGTGTAAACAATGTGCAGTTTAATAAATAGGTACTATTATTAAATTACTTGTTAAACCCTCAATTATATCTATTTACAAATAAGTTGTAATAAGTAAATAGAACAAAAGAAGTCAGATTTTTGACTGCTATGATTGATATTAAAATTATGAGTATTATGATCAATATTATATCAGGTAATATTATTTATTCTGTTAACATAACCATTATAAATAGAGAATATCAGTCAATAAAATATTTAAAAAAAAAATGTAATTTAAGAAAAAAAATAAATAAGTAAACATTTATTTTTAGAGACTCGCAAGAAAATATTAAAATTTTCATAAGTTTTATCTAAGCAGCTTATTATTTACTGGTTTTAAGACAATGCCTTTTTTAAATATATGTATATTTTTAAATGAAACAATATTATTATCAGTTTCAAATTATATTTAGTTTACTTCTATTTATTTTCTGTTAAGTCAAATAGTTTATTAGCTGGAAGATAAATACATAAAGATAATAATATAGTCTATAAGTATTCAAATACGTACCACTTCTGATGCAACGATGCATATTAATTAAGTGGTTTATATAATACTATGTGGTTTAAACTTCTGCAAAGTTGGTTCAGTTTTTTAATATTAATTGCTTACAGAATATGTTGAAAAGAAAATATTTGGTGATGTTTTCTTTTCGTAGTATAAAGAAAATATATCTAAAACTCGTATATGCCTACTAGACATACCAGTTATTGATAATATTAAATTTTGAAATACAAAAATTAGCATTGGAATTTAGAAGCTTCATAATATATTATGTACCTATCATTAATAATGATATTGCTTAACTTGATATTTGAATAGTTTAAAAAAAGCGATACCACTAATTATGTTGAATTAATGTTAATTTTGTGTAAAGTTTATGACTGAAAGGTAGTTACAGCTATTTTCAGTTTAAAAAACATGTAATAATCTATTATACGACAAAAATTGTAACTTTCATAGAAGGCATCAATCATTTATTTACATTTGTAAAACATATGACGACATATTAGGTATCTATTAATTAATTGAAAAAAAATTAATTATTAAGTGCATTTTATGTAAGTTCTTAATGATTTAATATTATAATATTATATAATAATAATATATTGCAAATGAGTACGTTGTTACAATATTCACATTGTACTTGTACACTCGTCAATTCATGCTGTACATACACATTTTAAATTGTTATCATCATCGAAATAATTTATCCGAATTTACCTAACCTGGATAGGTATTTTTATGGGTAATTTTGGTTATTAAATGTATAATAATTTATAATTTTATAAGTGTGTAAGAATAAATACATTTAGATAATCAAGTGCATTGTTTAATACATCATAATTAAGCCAATTGCAACGGCCAATTGCCACTTATAAACAAAAACTTTGAGTGATGGACAACTTCTGTAATTTTCAGTTATAAGCTGTTGACCTCGAAGTTTAAATCCATAGAAAGATTATTTTATTTAATTTTAAGAATTAGTATGTTTCAGTTAATGTTTGAGTGTGATGTTTAGGCGTTTAGCTAAGAATATTTAGATGTTAGTAAATCATGTATTTGGATATAATGGAGTACAAGTACTTCAGTATTTAGAGTAGTTAATTTAATTAATTTTAAAAGCATGTTTAATCTCATCTGTCGTCTTAATTTCTAACAAATTAATAAATTAAATAAGTAACTTTTCAATTAATAATAATAAAAAAAAAAACCATTAAGTATAGACGTATAAACGTTAAGTATATAATTAAAAATAGATTTGAAAAATGTCAATGATTGGTTCAGTGGTAGACATACTCATAGCTTTGAAAAACTGTAAAAAGCAATTTAAGTTTTTAAAAGATATATTTTATTTTTCAAATAGACGGAAATACAGTCAACACTTGTAACACCAAGTTGAAAATTTTAAATTGAGATTTAAATTCGACGGATGCAAACACTTCAAATTTGAATGTGGGTTATGGTAAAATGTGGACAATTTATGAATTATTGTCATACGTATTATAAAAAAGACCTTCATCTAATTCAATTTTTAAAAGAGAAGTTTCCGTGCAGTTAATTTGCAATATCATGTATTATTAAAATTATCAGGATGAATGTTCATGAGACTAACCCCATGAACTTCCAATTATTAAATAAATATTGATTTCTAGAATATGCATATTATACGAGAAATAAAAATTGTAATATTTAGTTAGTTTTATCAAATAGATTTTATTGAATATTATGTATAAATACTTACATTCATCGATAGTGATTTTGAATGAATTTGGAAATACATAGATATAAAATTGCACAAATCGTATAAAAGTTCATAAAATCCTGGCGTATCAATTAAAATCCTTACAGAATTAGTGAAATAGTAATAAAATATTCATTTGATGAAAAATGAAAAATAAATTATGAATGCATTAAACTTTTTGTTTATACATATATCAAATATACACTTGAAAAATGTTGAAAACTACATATTTACTATTTACTTAGACGAAAAGTGGTTTTATGACCATAGTATATTAAATTTATGATTAACAATTAAAATAAATAAAAAACTATCATTTAGATAATGCACGTAATAACAATGTAGATAAATATCCATGATTAGGTATATTGTGCACAAAACAATATTATATTCCATCACATGATTATAGAATCTCACGTGGTCATGGTTGACCTGTTATAATATATCTAATTATCTAAATATTTTTAGTTCAATTTTGACAGATTTCTTTTCAAATTAGCTTTGTAAATTGTTCTAATCATTATCGATTTAATATGAAAATATAAAATAAAATGATTTTCGTAATGTATTACATTGATTGTTCAAAAACAAATAATAACAGTGAAATGTTTAATAAAATAATAATTATTTAATGTTTTATTCTTTAAATACATTATATTTATTAATACATTTTAAATTAAGTTTAGGATTTTTAATACATTTTTTTAATATAGTGAGGACTGAGTTTATAAACTATATTCCATTAAATAAATTTTAATTTTAAAACTAGAAATGTATTAAAAATAAGTACCATTATCTCGGAGAGAATGAAAAATGAGCTTAATAAAAACTTATATTATCTTCTAGTTAATAACCACGTCCAGTATTATTAAACGTAGAAAGATAAATTATTAAACAGTACTATATATAGGAATTTAATTTTTAAAGATAATAAGATTAAATACAATAACCAAATTGCAATCAAACAATGTAAAATATGCTATTCGTTTATTCATTTGCGACTCGTTGATTTTGTCATCCCTACAGATAAGCTTTATTGTTTACTGATAACAGTATTGTAAAAAGTTTATTAATTGTCCCGCGATTATTTAAAAAAACAAGAGAAAACCAGCATATTAATAAAATTTTTACTTCGTTTTCTGTATACCTATAAAAAATAATTCAAAATCTTAAGGATTAAAGAAATGACAGTCAAATAATTTTCATAATCAAAAGTACTAAAGAAATATAATGCTTAACAAATTATTTTCGAAGATTAACATTATTTAATAATTATTACCGTATACTCCCCTTCACCAACGTAGTACACTGAACGATTATCGTTATATATAATATAATGAATACTGTTTGAGATTCAAATTTTAAATATTTAATACAACTAACAATTAAATCAATCGAGTCAGATGTAAAACCTACTATCTATTACGTATAATTGTGTCTAATCCTCAATCTTCATAATATTATGTTTATGGTAGTCAGTTGGTGTGCAATATAAGATACGATCATTTTACGTTCAAAAATCAAATAGTAATTACTTATCAGATATTTTTGAATAGTTAATACGAACTTTTTTAAAGAAGTAATATTTTTTTTTCGATAATTCATCAAAGGGTGGCGGATACAGTACTTTGATGGGGATGTGAAAGACGTCGTCCATCGAGCCCTGAGTGTTGCTATGCAGTATCACGGTTGTGTACAATTTGGAAATAGTTTACAGTCCATTTTTTGGCGGGAAGAAAAATTTGAATACTTCGCACGTAAAACACGCACATTCGCGGACTAGACAACGGCGTAAGATAAAGATTACACGAGTAATTTACAGCAATTTTATCGCGACAATAGACGTCAATATTTATAAAAGCATTGACATGAACAACAAATCGTTATAAATTATAATAACATTTGAGGTATAAGGAACACGAAAATATTAATGTTGTGACGAATACGTATTTTAGGTTTATATGTTATTATCGTGATGTTTCGACATTTTCCGTGCGCGTGCACCGCTAACAAAACAATATCATACACATGTATAACAATAAATTATTATTATGCCACCGAGAGCAGTACAGTGGCGCTGTTGGTATATGACACAGACACACAGTAAGTCGTGCTCGAAGCGCTAAAAATAATAACGCGCTCGCTGCACGGCGAAGCGTCTTGTTCGAAATCTGCGGCTGCCACACAATCAAGCAAACATTATTACTGTTTCGTATTTACTGTTGATAATTTATTATCATCATCCATGAAATCACGCATTCCTTTTAAGCGCCAAATTTTTTATGTAGGTATCATAATTTATGAATTGTTTATCGAAGAACAGTTAGGTACCTCCTACTGTAGTACGCAATACACCGGGATTATTATTAAAATTAGGCAAATACTTGATATGTATAATATATAGCGCGTACTGAGTCCAGTGTCGTAATAAAAACGGATTTCCAACATTAATCCATAAAAAATGTACGCTATTAAAAATTAAAATTGTTACGTATTGTCGGCGAGAATAATACAAACCCAATACAGTAATTATACGTTATTGGTACCTACCTATGCGTAATACCCGTCTTACTATTGCGGAGGTACTCAAAGCGATAAGAAGCGTTAGGGGCACGGGTATAGAAAGAAAGTATTGATTATTATAATATTATGCGCATAACAATGAAAACAATCCGAGGTGTTAATTTCAAATATTTGTTTACCTCGTTAAAACTCAACACCTTTACTGCACGGCGGGCCTAGTTCAAGTTCGCTGGTTGTACAGGTGCGCGTCGGAATACCGAGTAGTGTGAGTAATCAACAGATGAACGACCGGCGTAATGCACGTGGACTACATAATAATATTATTATGATAATAACAACAACAATATTAATATTATTATTACAAATTATAATATAATACCGCCAATACCGGTTCTCCGTTGCACTTCGGGGACGACGATGCAAATATTTGAATATTCTGGCGGTGGCGGCGGCGGCGGCGGCGGCGTGACCGATGCGGGCTGAATCTTGAATGTGCTCCACTAGCAGCGTGCGTTTACCGACTCCCCGGCTCCGGCGACGGCGGCGACACTGAAACCGGTTCGGCGGCGGCGGCGCGGCGGCAGAATCGATGACGTCGCGCGTCTGCCGATCGGCATCACGTCTCGGGATTGGACGGACTTCGGTGGGATGCGCGCGCTACTCGCCCGGCCGCATGCCGTTCAGGTAAACGGTCGACTCGCCAGCCGCCAGGCGTCAGTTAACTCGCCCTCCACGTGATGTTTACTCGTTCGCCGTTTGCGATCACGCACGACTTGTTAATTCGATTACGACAATAAAATAGATATTACATAATATTGAAATGTACCCCACGGGTACATAATATTATAACGTCACACTCGTTATTAACATTATTTGCATCGTAAATTCGCGAGCAATACACAACGCACCTACCTACTAGACACCAGTCGGTTAATACCTTGAAAAATCAGATTTTATTACACGAATATGTGATTGAAAAATATCGGAATAACTAGTTACGACCCATCGCTATGGTGAATAATGACGATAGACAACGAGTGTACCAACTCGTACGGTGTACGCTGCGATGAAATCAAATGTGTACAGTAGTTACATAGGTACTTACGTCGATGAATATAATAACAATTATTGATGTTACATATTATTTAGATAGAAATCAGAATTGCAATTTGCAGTACCGACCGATGACAACGATGCTACGACATACATAATCCATATTATTATATTCTACGGAAATGTGGAATGCACACGTAGTTTTGTTTCGTCTGTTCTTTAAAAATTCCACGACGTGGAGGGATTAAAAGGAACGGCATGGTGCCACGATGTATTAAAAAAAAATAAAAAAAATACACGTTTCCTTAGTACCAGAGCAGCTATAGGTTACATATTGTACGGATTTTATTTTTTTCATGACTATATTATATGATATTATACAGTAACAGTAATAATATGACACCGTACCTTTGTATCATTACGTCCCTACCTACGCAGTACACACTGCGGTCTGCGACTGCTGTACGGAGGGGTTCGTATTTCACACGGACACTGTTCCGATGTCCGTTTCGAAATCACGTTGTGGGGTGATGGACTGGTACCTATACGCGACACGCGTTTTCGTGTTATGAAATTATATTTCATTTGACGCGTATTATTGAAGCTTCACGGCTACACGATATGATTATGTGAGTGCACATTGTGACCATAACACGCCATTACATGACTACATCTTATCTGTTCTGTAAGACCGTACTTTACTACTTATATTTTATAAATAGGTAAATACGTTGTAACTTATGAGTTATAAGATTGTGTACTGTTCTGATCTAGTCTGACGACAAACCATCGTTGACGGGTTTATTATACGCGCGACAAAGCATAATGATAAGTAAAGCCTACAGTGATTTCATACTTAGAGCCTATTTACAGTAATATAGGTGGTTCTGTTCACACTATTCACTTTGTACTTGTAAAGATAGATAAAATTAAAACAGGGTAACGCTTAAAAAATAAAATTATTTGAGGTACCTAGCTTACTATCAAATACAAGTTTATACTCCGTAAATCAACGATTTTTTTAAAGTCATTATACAGTACTTACGTATTTTAATTTTGTTTTTGTAAATTCAGCAATAGTGTCTTCAAACGTTAATATTATTGTTTTGTAATATCATGAATAGTTTTCATTTATGAAAAAAAGTCTAATTTTTCTGATGTTAAAGAAGAAAGGAACGCGAGTTTATATCATAAATTTAAATACTTATAAATGCTTACAGATAATGAATGTTCATTATTACTATTTGTACATAGTATTGAAAAGCATTTTTTTTTTAGTATATCGTAGTAGGGAGGTTCTAGAAATTTGGGGGATGTATTGTTTGTGCATTGCATGCACATTCGCGTTAATCGGGTTCTGCCTAAATAAGTACTTACCTACCGCCGCTACCAATAAGTCATGGTCGATATATAAGTATGTGTGTATTCAGTGTAGTGTATTAAATGCACTCGACTTTTGTTGATAATTGAAATGATTAGCGTTTATATACATCGGTTCAAAAGCAGAACTGATTTATGGCACTAAATAGCTTAACTTTTTCTGTATCATATTAGATGCACAATTATGTATACTATATCTTATAATTCTTATTATTATATCATAAGACTACACAGTGCAGTTTACTACAATATCAGTGGATTTTTTATGATTTAAAATATTCTACATGTACGTGTTGTTTTATTACCAAGGTAATTATAGAGCAGTGGCGGCCAAACTACGGTCCATAGCTAACTGTGACCCACGATAGTATTTTATATTACAGCTCATATTTGCATATCTATATAATATTTTACACTAACATAAAAAAAAAAAAAAATTGAAAAATTAAAAAATATAGTATACATTCTACATTATTTAAAATAATGTATTAAAATATAAATAAACAATAAATATTTCCTAGTTTTGTATTATTTTATATTTGGAAATACATTTAATATAAATCCCAAAATTTTTGAAGCTTCTTTACAATTAGAATTTAAATAACTCAAATTAAATAATTTTAAAAACAAAATTTAATAATTTTTCGAGCTCTGAAAACCTTGTTCAGTTGTATATAAATAATTTGTCTAAAGAAGATTTTTCAAATGTTCGGAAGTCTTGTATATTTGGTTCAGCATATATTTATGAGTAAGTATTTTCAACTATGGAAATCAAATAAAAGTAAAAATTGATCCGCATTACAAATCTTCATATCATTCTCTGGGTAAATTCTAACAAATTAGAAGCTAATATTAATGTTTTCTGTCAACAGCTACATAAGCTCATAATTTACATTAACAAATTAATACATTTAAAAATATTTTTGTTAATGTAAGCCGATATTTTGAATACTTTATAATCTTTATATATATATATTTTCATTTGTGGTAATAATAAAATAAAATATTAAAAAAAGCTATTAACATGATTTAGTACAATAAAAAAGTCGTTAAATATGAATTATATAAATAAAACTAAAATTTTAATAACTTAAAAGTTTAAGGAAAAATTTCAAATTTCAGGCCCGGCAATTTTTTTTTTTTTTACAACCCATGTTAAAAAAGTTTGGTCACCACTGTTATAAAAGAATCTAAGAACCGAGAAATGCTGTAAAATACAAAAAAATTAATTTAAATGTACGAATTATATCCGATGATGATATAGAAAAAGTCAACGAACCATGAGGCATAACATTAATATATCTCAGTTTAAAGTTTTCCGATAATATAGTTATTTATAGATTATATCACTATCACACGTTTTATTATTGTGGACTAATCAGAACTCATAATTATAAGCGATTGCTAAATAACGTACATGCATATAATATGATAGCAACAACTGTTTTTCGCTGTAAAATTATTGCGTATAAATTTAGTATAGGTATTCAGGATTTGAAAAAACAGTATATTTTAAATAATTCTAAAAATAAGTTTAGTTTAAAACGTTATTTTTTTTTTTCAAATGATTTTTCTAAATGTTAATTTTGTAATGCTATATTATGTTTTATGCTTTAGGTAATTTTAATATTATGTCATCCAATTTTTAACTATATTAATAGAAATATATGCAGTTAAATTGTTTGTTGACATAATGCTATGTCTTATAATTGAAACTCTTAAAACTTGAATACTATTTTAAATTTTGATTTTTAGGATTTAGCAGATATACCTATATTTTTTTAGTAGAAAGTCCTTAGAATATATATGTATTTTTAGTGTTTCCTGTTATAAAACGTTAATGTTTAAATAACTTGGTAAAAATTTAAATAGTGAATTAGAAAAGTGAGTAGCGAAATATTTTTATTGTTCATATTAAATAAATTCATTAGTTTTAATTTGAGAGAGGGGTAGGATATAATTATAATAAAATATATGTAAAATATAATAGTACGCAAGTAGAAATGTATGTAATATTTGTAACTATAAAGATACTCATACGTATTTACCTAGTCAGGGTTGGGCAGTATCTTCGATACAAGTATTTAAGATAGGTACGTATCTTAGATACTATTGTATCTTGTATCTTGAATCTCGATACAATTATATGAAGTATTGAGTATCTAGTATCTCGATACTCCAAATCCAAGTATCTAGTATTGTAATACTGATTTTTGAGTATCTTGCCCATCCCTGTACCTAGAAATAATTTCTGATTCATATCAGCTCAAAAAAAAAGTGAAGTATACCATAATTCACGAGTTCATGATATTTGTTCAATATGCACACTTGTATCATTATGTATTTATATAATAACAGTCGTAATTGTCTAATTATTATTAATCACTTATCAGTATAATTATACACTGTAGTCTGTAGCACTGTAATTGTATTCGCTTTATATTTATTGTTGCTTGTATTTTATAATATCTAATAAACTAATAAATTATCACCTAGGATCTTATGAGTTATAAGAAATAATCCAATTATTACACCCACCCGTTTACATTGTGATTTATGAATTTTGGGTAATTAACTATACATTGAACAAATTAAATAATTTTTAATTTTATTTCATGTTAATATTATAATCTATAAAAAATTTTGATAAGTAGGTATCGCTCTGTTGTACATTACATGTTGAGTAGGTTATTATTATGGGTGAGTTAAATTTATTAAATTTAAATTCAAAGATATATATATATATATATATATATTGTTTTATATAAAAAAAAAAACCAAAACAATTCTAAGCGAAACTGATTATTAGTTTATAAGTTATATTAACAAGTATATTTCAAGTATTTTTAAATTTTTTTTTTTTTGTATAATGGCAATTAAAGTCATTAGTTAATTAAAAAAATTAATAGTTTTCTACATATATAAAATAAATTATTAGAAAGTATGCGCTTTCACATTTTATAAATATTAAAATAAATAATATTTATGTAAGTGCTTCAAGTGGATACTGCGTAAAATGGTACATATTGGTACATGTATAATTGACGCGGCTTCGGCGGTTGTCGTGATTTTGATTCGCGGAAAGTCGGTCGTATGATTGTGGATGCTCACACGGGTGTGGTGCCACACAAACAGGTTGGTTAGACGGATACGTTGAGGACGTTCTTAATCTTCAGTGGTTGGAGACGACTTGGTGAATCCAACGAAGGTAAGTCCTTGTAGAGCCGTCGTAGAGTTCTTTGGACAACAGTCGAAACATGAGACGTGCGACGGTCGTAACACCAGAGAGCGATTACCGGCGTGACTTATCTCTCGTCCCACCCTGGCCTTAACGATGTTGGTAGGAGAGTTGACTATATTGTGTCTTTAATCGTGGTGGTGATTGTGATGACAGTGTAGACTGGTCGCTGCGGTGCCTGTACTTTGTTGTAGCGATCGTTGCGTACCGTGTCATACTCCCCCGCCAAATTCGCCACACAGGTTAGAATATTGTACTGGTGTGTGTTGCAACTTCTAATTATAAGTCGGGACTAGTGGTGGGTGGCTGTGCTCCATTTTCCAACATGTTGATATTAGAATTTGCTTATCTATGTGAATTGTACATGCAGCGTAATCCTAAGAGACTTCATTGTTGACAATGGAAGTCGTGTCCTAGTACCGCGTCGCAATGCAGCTGTCTAAGACAATTGCTTCGAATTTGATTTCGAGGATCCCTATCTTAGCTTTGAATGTGGACGTGCCATTGGTTATCGTTGTGTGACCGTCTATCATCCGGACTTGGTCTGTGGGCCCGTGGAGGGGGAGCAGTTTTAAAAATATTGGCACCTGTTGTGTGTACGGACTGCCCCTGTCGCATGGTCGGTTGAAGTTTGCTGTGCTCCGGCTTTCCGTCCGCGAGTGCCTGCACTCGTACGACTAGCAGGAGTTTCCTCGGACAGCTGCCTGTTAGGCTAGCTTGCTCCCGTGCTTACCAGCGTCGATGTCGCATACGGTTGTTCTCCCGTGCTAACCGTTAGTCCTGTGACTAATGGCTGCACGAGGTTGAACCGTATGTTCTCGGGGTCCTGTCCGTTCTCCCGAATATGTTCCTCCAACCTAATGAGTATGTCCACTTTCGATCCGGACTTACTGATATCTTCGTATCGTACAGTCGCTACGTAGTTTAGCCGTCGTCAAATGTTTTAACATTTTACCAACCATAGTGTAATATTATTAAACAAATAAAATTAGAAATGTTGTTGTTAAACTGTTGTGCGATCGGTGGCTTGTGCTTGTTATGCGAAACTAGGTCTTAAGTTGAAAATCGGATGAAAACACAAATTTTGCGTGATGTTTTTACGGCAGGGTTATTTGTTTACGTTCGCATAAATGATAATCAGCTGGTGACTACGTCGTCGAGGTATTCCAAAAATATCGTAACTAGGTCAACGTTTTGGAGTCGGCGGCGGTGGCGGCAATACATGTATATAAGGTTATCACCTGCGCGCTACGTCGTTATATGCGGTAGTGTCACGGGACGAAAGACAAGTGTTTGGCGGAGTGATGGTACGTTATGAGACTACTTTTCACTACCATATCATGGTTATAAAAGTCGTGCGGAATTCCCTATATATGTACCGGAATGCTTATTACGTAATCCTAACTTGAGAATCCTAGCTAGTCCAGGAAACACGCTCTTAAGTTAAATATCTTAATAATAAAATAATATAAGCAGTTAACCCGAGGTATGTGTTAGTGTGAAAAATTTTTTCCTTTGCGATGTCTAGAGAAGATTCCTCTGCTGTGAGCCAATTTTACGCGGCTTTGGCGGTTTTCGTGGTTTTGATTCGCGGAAAGCCGGTCGTATGATTGTGGATGCTCACACGGGTGTGGAGCCACACAAACAAGTTGGTTGGACGGATACGGCGAAGACGTTCTTAATCTTCAGTGGTTGGACATGACTTGGTGAATCCAACGAAGTTAAGTCCTTGTAGAGCCGTTGTAGAGTTCTTTGGACAACAGTCGGAACATGAGACGCTGTAGACGTGCGACGATCGTAACACCAGAGAGCGATTACCGGCGGCTAATGCTCGTCCGGCGCGACTTATCTTTCCGTCCCGCCTTGGCCTTTACGGTGTTGATAGGAGAGTTAACTATATTGCATCTTTAACCGTGGTGATGATGGTGGTGACAGTGTAGACCGGTCGCTGCGGTGCCTGTACTTTGTTCTGTCGACCGTTACGTACCGTGTCATGATTATGAGTTATGAGTGTTATGACTATAATTGTTTTTATTACTTTTATAGTTTTATACATCAACAACTTTGGCTATTAATAATCGTATTAAACAAGACAAACATTAAATTTGATAAGTTTAAAGGTAGCCATGGATTATAAATCAATTAATATATCTAATAATAATATTGAATTTGCTTAAAAATTCTATTTTTCTTTATTTTTTTGTTCGTATTTTCAACTTATAAGAAAATATGTTAAGGATTTTTAACTTCGATTTGTTTTAAGTACAATATAGATCCGATTTACTATTTAAAAACACCCTCAAAGTTGAAAATTGACTACTTATCGCGTACACAGGCAAAAAAAGAAGAACATACGTCTTTGTAAAATCAATACATTTATCGCTCCGCTTAGAATCTAATAGTGTATAAATCGAAGCAATATTATTTATTAATCAAAATTATCTTAGATTATTTATTAGTTATTATTATTAATCTTAAGTAATTATTTTGTGTGTAATGTCCGAAAAATAAAAATTAATTTTTTTTATAATACACTTTAAAAAAAATACTATAAACTTGATTGTATTTAATTAAGTGTAAAATTAAAAATAAAGTATAAAAAGTACCAATTAAAGTGAAACATAATTTTATCGCAATTAACCTATCCTTATTTGTAATTTCCTAATTGTGTATAACTTTTATATTAGTTTGATTTAAAAATATTATTTGAAAGTTGTGATAAATGTATTAATTTGTTTTTAGTTCTTATAGTATTTTACGAATTTTATAAATGTATATATATTTAATGCATTTTTAATTGAATATCTACGTATGTCCAAATGTTTACGTGATTACGTCACTATAAATGAGTATGTACCTATTATATAATGTAAAAAATATAAGTTGCCAAAACTTCAAGAATTTCATCATTTTTAATCTTGTGATTTAAACAATGGATTAATTAAAATAGAATGCTGATATGCTACAAAAAACCTATTAAAAATTGACACTTTGGCAGCCATTAAATATCGATTTTTAAAAACAACTATTTTTATAAATTCTTTATTTCTATTGCATTATTGCATACAAGAATCATATTATAATATTAAGAAAAATATAACTAAATTGTCAATGAAAATTTTTGTTTTTTAACAAAAAATAAAACAATAATTATGGTTATAAAACTGATTTTTAAATTAATGACATTTTTTATTTGATATAAGCAAAATATCAATGAATATGTTTATACTTTATACATAGGTACAATATATAAGTTATTCAAGAGAATTAAACATAAAATAAGTTATTTAAAAGTGTAAAAAGTAAAAAAAAAAATATTGTATGATAAAATATTTATAGCGAATTTTATAATGTACACCAATTAGATATCCAGATTTTAGATAAAATAATGGTTTGACTTAAATGTCGTAAAATATCTATAAATGAAGTAATATTGGATAGTGATTACTGATTATATTTTACTTATGTACCTACCAACAATTTTTTTTGAAAGTTTTTGATGAATTTAAAAGTTTGATTTTTTTTAATATCTATTAGACTATTAGTTCCTAAAGTCTCATTTTTCAACTTTTTTATTTATCTCTTCTAGTATATTTAATCGTAAAATTATTATTCAGTAGGTATAATTCATCAAAATTTTAATTATTTTTTATTTTTAGTGTACGATATTCTGTTGAACATGTTTGTAAAATAAATATGCAATGATTAATAATTATAAAAAAATGTTTATACAATTTATTACCTTATAAATAATATTATATAAACTATAAAGTAAATATTTGATTCTTTATAAGCATTTAAAGTTAATACTGTTTAATCTGTAATCTAGAGTCTAGTTTTATGAAGTTGTGCAGTAAAGTACAACCATCTTATTTTTTTACATCTCTTCATTTTTAAATTAAAATAATTATCAATGATCATTAGAAAGATATTATTCACAGTTTATTATGATTAGGTACGCTTAAATTAGTTACTATTTTACATATTACATGATATAATATAAAACTGTTTATTTATTAATTTTAGTAAAATAAATAATAGTATAGTGTAGGTTAGGTATACTTATTCGGATTCGTTGATAAATACTATACAAATATTTTAAGTATTATTTTATTTCAAAAACGCTTAGTTTCATTTCTTTAACTAAGAAAAAAATCTTTACCCTCAGATCGGGTTATCCAAAAACATGTTTGAAGATTAAACGATTCGAAGAATTTCAGTAATTTTTGGATTTAGAGGTCGTACAAACGAGTAGTGTGTAGGATGACAAAAAGTGAGGGGAGGGGAGTAACCGAAAACGAAACGATACTATTACTGCTATGAACAGTGGATACCAGTTCTGTATAAAATAATATATTTATTGATTTATACATAATGTTGACGTTAGTATTCCATATATTATAATATTATCTGTTTGATGAATTCGATATTGGAAACCGTGTAGGTTTTCCACGGTCACAGACGCGCTTGTATACAAGTTTATTTGTCAAAATCATAATAATAATATATCATATATTATGTATACAGTATATTATAGTATAATAATAAAATATTACCAAAACGAATTAAAAATAAATAGAATACATCAATAAATGAATCTGGTATCGATAGAAGAAACGATGGAGATTGTAATTAATAAATATTTTACATACAATATATGATAAAATATAATATTAGTCAAAGTCCAAATCCCAATTTTTGTTTGTCTTCGATCGCTTTGTGTGCGGCCTGCCTCTTCAGGTCAGTCGGTATGAATATGGTCAATAAGAATCCGAAAGTCAGTAATCCGACGATCATCATGTTGGCCGCCAAATCACCCATGGTGCTGAACACCCAGCTGTAAATCGATGTCAGGATGAAGCCAATCAGTTGGGTGCCGCCGTTCAGTAGACCGCTGGACGTGCCTTCAGGAATTGGGTACGTTAACTCGATGGCTAACTCGTAGCCGACAGGTAGATATCCAGTCATAAACAGCCTATATCGTGTATGGTCATTAAGGTTATACTCATATTTAATAATAGGTACTCGCTTATAATATAAACTATAAACATTGAACAATGTACGAATATAGGTACCTATATACAAATATTTTTTTTGTATAGGTAATATTATATAAATAATATGATTTTTTGATAGGCCAATGTTCTCCCTAATATTTTGTACTTGTAATCTAATAAGTAGGATTTGGGTTTGAAGACAATATAAACAGTAAAAAAAGCATTTAAAATGTGTAAAACGCAAAAAAAGCATTTAAATATACTGAGCAACTAAGAAAAAATGTTTATAAGTTTCCAAAAAATCAACTTGTCTGTGTTAAAAAGTTTACCAGCATATATTTAAATAAACTGTCTTCGGAAAACCGTTAAAATTTTAGCTTAAAATATTTTTGTACATAGAAAATTATCTTTTGACGTCAATCAAAGTTATGATTAAGTAAGTTAAAATTACAATTTTTAAATCATCATCGATTGTTATTCCTGAAATTAAAATTGTGTTCATATTTTCTTATTCTTTATTTAAACGATAATTTAACAAATATGGTAAAACACTAAAATGATTAAACGGCAGTCGATGAATGCGAACTGATGAACAATCTTAAATCTACGATCTACTCATCAAGAGTACTTTAATCTATAGGTATTATAGGTACTTTGATAAACGCTTAATAAACTTAATCGAATACATCTTACAGCGATAATAAATTAATAAAACATGCTCATTAGAGGTAATCTTAAACATATTTTCAACAACGCGTTATCTACACAAGCTTTTATCAATTTGTACTGTAAATATGTAAAAAACTATTATGACCAATTGATTAGTCATGAAAAAAAGATAAAAGAAGGATTTATTTGGTAAAAAGAGAATAAATAATGTTAGCTTAAAAATTAAATGAAATACATTTTTATACAAGACTTATTTTTCTATCATTATTAAAAAAAAATAATAAAATAAAAAATAGAAAGCATTTCCTTTTAAATCCAAACCCTACCAGTATTAACAAGTAGTTATGTAACGAGCTTTAATTATTGATGATCAACAGAAAAATTCAAATTTTACATCAAACTTAAACTATTAAACTTATAAAATTCTAAAAACTATAAAAAATACTATGAAGATAAAAATTTAATTTTATAATGATGAAAAATATACAATTATTATAATTATATTAAATTTTGTTGTAGATACCTCTAAATTGTATCAAATATTTTGATATATTGTTTTTAAATTTAAAAATGAGTATAAAAATTTAAGTTAAAAATTAACAACAAAATCCACGAGACAACGTGCCGATTATCACAGCGGTAATACCACTGAATAATATACCGTGAAATAATGTAATGTTTTATACTTATAGCTATTTCCTATCATACAAATTAAATACGTAAGATAAGACCTCATGCATGCTTTGGACCGAATACCTTACCTATATCAACAATCGAATGAATGAAGATTGATAATAATTCAATAATATTACTACCTATATTTAATATTCAAACGTTGAAACGATCATATTTCCTTGATTTATTTATTGATTAATATTTATTTCGGGTATCAGATACCTTTGTTCTATAATATAATAAAGCAATATTTAAAAAAAAAAAAATCATTTTAATTTAGTATAACTTACATACTTATTTTAAGAAAAAAAAAAAATTGTTAATTTAAATTTTTTTGTGGTCCCCGAAAACAATTTTGCTTTCAATTTTTAAATATCATAGTTTATTTTTTATTTATATTAATCTGTAATCAGACATTTTTCTGAATTTTTTAATGATACGCATAATATTTAGTATTTTTACGAAACCATTAAAACCCAATCAAATATAATACATATTATAGTACCTATATTACATAATATTATAGTAGAAAAATAAAAATTTGCGGGGGAGTTCTGACCATTATATTAATATGCATCGTCTGTGACATGTTATTACAACTGATATTGCTTTGTTTAAGATACAACATAATTAAAGCGATAAATTATCTTTAGCAGCTAAACTCACCCCAATAATGAAGCTGTAATGTATATTATCCAAATAGATTGACCGTGTGACAGACTGAACGTATAGATCAACATAGAGATCAAAGTACTGCCGTAAACCATCAGGGTCGTCTCTCTGTGAACATGAATCGTAGATTACAATATTTTATTCTTAAGTAAATATAGAGTTAAAATATACTGCGCAATTAATAAAATGTGTAGGTAACATTCACGTTGGATTAGTGATGTTAAGATGAAGTTATGCAGTATGCACTAGATATGTCAATTATGTCAGATATATTACGGCGCGAACATCTATAAATAAAAACCACGAAAGTCAAAGATAACAGATTTAAAAAAATATATATATATATTATTGTTTTACTTATAGATTATTTAAGTGATCATTTTAATTAATCACCTTCATTAATTTACCATAAAAATGTAAAATATTCTTTAATTAATTGAAACTATACATTGCTTACGAGTTATTAATACATATTTAATTATAGTTTTTATTTATATTTGAGTAAATAAAATATTGTAAATTACAATTTCCCATTAAAATAATTTAATATATTATCAATTATTTATTAATATTAAATGGTAAAAGGTACTAATCAAATATCAATACAACCATTTACTTAATGTATTCTGTTAATCGTTTGAGTAACAGTTGAATATATTGAAATTGGTCAGTATTCTTTATTAAAACCTGTAAAAATTGAATAACTAATAATATAATAGTATAGATATATAGTAGGTACAATATAAAAGTATTATTACGGCCATTACGGGTATTCTTCAGAATAATAATAAATATTATCAATTAAAAATTAAAAAACATAAATCAATAGTATTTTACATTTACTATTATTTCAATAGTTAAAATTATAAATATATTATGTTAAGTTTAAATTAAATTTTCATTTTTTAAGTAAGAATGTATAATACGTGATTTTAAGTTTTAAATTTTGCATATTACTTAGTTTATTCAATAGAAAATAAAAAATATTAAGAACAGATATTGTTATTCAAAATTTAGGAACAAGATAAAAATATCAATAAATATTAATTAAAAATATGTGACAATAATAGATAAGTATTTTTTGATTATAAATTAAGTAAATTGTAATGTATTGATTTTATAATAATGCTTGTGTCTTTTTGAGTTCTACCTAATTATGAAATTTTAATTTTTATTATTATAGCTATGTAATACTATTACTTATTATTTTTAATTAATTTTTCATTATTAAATGTATTATATTTAATTTTTTTTCAAATTTAACACATACCGAAAAATAGAGATAATCATAGTATATGTTTAAGACAGTGTAAACTCAACATGTATGATACAATTAATCCTCCATTAATATATCAAACAGAAAACCAGACAACAAAATAGAAGAGTAAATTAATTACTAATTATTTTTTTAATTTTGTATATATATATAATTTTAATTAAAAAAAATCACGAAATTAGTCAACTCTTTGTATTTAGTTTTAAATTAGTATTTTATGTATGATAATATTATTATCTTCGAATAATTGTTATGCCGTTTTTCCAATCCTCCAAATTAGATAAGTTTTCTATTATTTCTTAAAACGTTCTCTTTTTCAGCCTTATTTATTATTCAAATATAGTTGTTGTACAATTATAAATAACTAATTATTTTTAATATTTTGATTTCTAGGCAGATGTTGATTTTTACTGATAAATAACTATGACGTGAGGTTAAGACATGTACAGAGGTTAATTTATGGTTATATGTTATCGAGTAATAATTTTTATACTAATTACTAAGTACTTAATATCGATATTATTAATTGCAAATATTCCAATGTTATAAAATTATATAAAATATATATTAGATATTATTTTACCTACATTTAGTTCATATAATAAGTGCCTTACTTATAGAGATGCGTTTTATCTAGAATATATCCACATATAATCGAACCACCTAGACCACATAATACTAAAGTGAGGCCAATTCGTCCGACATCTTCTTCGTGACCCTAAAATCAAATAATAAATACATCATATTAGTATGAGTTATTTTTATTTTTAATTTACTCACCGGGAAATAGAGTAAAATAAATTGGTTGAGTAAAGTTGATATAGCAAAAAACGCACCGACATTAATACCGTACGATATAAGTAATAAAATGTAACCATTATTTTTTAATAATTCTTTAACTGAGCTCATAAATACATCTTGTAAAATTTCTGGATCGTCTCTTTTTTTTCTTTGTACAACTTGGGCATTACTTGGTGCTATTTGTGGTTCGGCTTGTATAACTGAAATAATAATACAATTATTGTATTAGATACAAGACAATATAAATAAATCATTCAATTTGATAACGTTTGCTTAACAATAGCTCTTAACGATTAAAAAATTTTTCTTTAGTTTTAAATTGTCATATATCAGTATAATATAATACTTACTCCAAATAACTAAAAAGAATATTGCAGTATTCAGAATAGCGAAAGATATAAACATTTTCCATAAATCATTTCCTATGTCATCTAAGTTATCGCTATCGTGCACTATCATTGGTGGAATTAAAAATCCGAGAGCTGCTCCTAGCTAAAAAAAACGGAATAGATTAAATTCTGATCTATAAGTTTAGTTGCTTAGTTATTAGTTATTACTAATTACTATATCATATAAATACATATAAAAACAAGTTGTAGACAGACATAAAATATTACCTACATTATAATTAATTACCTCTTAAAATAATATTTATTTATATTAAAACATGTATGTACTTAAATAGTTTCTTAGTATAAAAAGTTTAAAACTAATAAAAATATTTTGAAAATGTAATTACGCAAAGAAAATAATAATATACAAAATTACGAAAAGTTTTAAGTCCTTTTAGTTAAAATCTTTTGAATTACAACGAAATAATAATAATTATTAATTTTTGTCTATAGATACATACAGTTTTGTAAAATTTGAATTTAAAATATCTTTAAAGGGAAAATATGCGTATGGAATTTCAATATATTTTATGAATGGCGGTAAGAATAACATATAATTTAAACGCTATAAACAAATTTTTAATTTTGTATTTTTGATATTTTCCATTACATATACATATATAACCCAAATTATAAAAATTTTTTAATTCAATTTTACTTGCAAACAAAAATGTGAGCATGCATTAATCGAAAAAACTAAGAATAGTTGTAAATTTCATATGTCTATAAATAGCATAAAAAATAGTCAAAATATTTTATAAATCATTTTTGAATAACAATAAAACAAAATATATTTGATTAAAATATGGTTTTTCGTATAAATATCTGTTTTTATTTAAAAGTTGATTTATATTTATAAATTTATAATCCTCAAAATTACTATTTAAATTTAATCTGCTACTAGTAAGTAGTAACCTTCCCCTTAAAGAGTTGAGCATTTTTACTGCTTTAAAATTTTTTTTCTCATTTCTGACATAAAATATAAATAAAAATATCATTGTTCTGCTCACTCTAAAAAACTTAACAATTATTTGATGAAATACAAGATACAAAGATGAAATGATAATATTTGTTGTTTAATTAAATATATCTATTATCTATTTAATAATGTGATAAAAATGTTTAAAAGTTAATTGTTTTTTTTTACACAAAATTTACAAAATTTGTACTTAATGTTTGTATAATGAGCAAATAAATCAAAGGTGAATGAGATCAACTATAATCTGTCTATATAAAAATTGTAATTTTATCAAATATTATAATAATTAATATGCTACAGTAGTCATATAAATAAATTTAAAATAGTTAAGAAATATTTTGAATTTCTTTACTTTAATAATATTTTCATTTAATTCTAAATCGATGGTAGAATTAAATATTAATAGGCAACCATACATACATTTAATACAAATGTATTGCTTTTCACATTTTATGGTTTTGTTATTGATATTATACGGTAGTGCGACTTAGGTGTTCCTATTATAGTTATGTGTACCCATTTATATAAACTGTCCCCCTATTTGTGGCTTAATATAAATGGACCTAATTTAACCAGATATACATTATCGTTACGAGGGCAATGTCGTTAACATAAATTATGGATATTGGTAACATCCTGTCAAAGGTTCCTTTATGAAAATACAACTACATAATGGTACTGGAAGATAATGTAATAAAGTCAAGAAATAATATAAGTTGCGAATGATATTTATACTTTCAATTTGTTATAATTTCTAGTGTAATTAATCAAATATTTACTAGATTAGATATACAGGATGTTATTTTGCTTATAATCGCAGCATAATATTTATGTATATGTCAAAGGTCTATAATATAATAACAAGATATTTTATCTTTATTTCATTGAACTTTATATTTAGTAATAAATAATTATTAAAAAAAAATGGACGATTTAGACGTTTAAATTACACACATATTATTATTAGAAGTATATTCAATTAATATGTTAAGAGGTACTAATAGGTTATTAATTTTATTTAGCTACTTGGGTAACAACGGATAATTTCTTTTTTCATAGTCTACAAATATAATTTTTGTTGTAATAGTTGATAAATAAAAAAATAAAAAAATAAATAAATTTATTAACAACTTATTTTCATATTATAGAGTATTAAAATAATTAATAAAATTTATGAATTAAATATTTTATTTAATTCATATTTGATTGAAAACAGCCGGGTCACTTAAATTCTTTTTGTTACCACTATTAGGATTTTTCTTTAGTTTTTGAATTAAAATGTAATTAGCCTCACAAAATTAAAATTGAAACTATCAAAAATTTCGAATTTTCTAAGTTCTATAAATTTAAATTTAAATGAAATTTATTTGATAGATAATAATAATGTTTTCACTGTAGAATAACAAATAATTGCTATTCAATTTGTAATAAAAAAATTAAAACTATTTTTGCGATTTTTTAAATCATAGAGCTATATTTTACTGGATAATTATTATATACACAAATATTTATAATATATTATATTTAATATTTTTCAAAATTAAGTTTTTTATTTTTTTGACTATATTACAACAATTTAAAAATTATTTTGCAAATAAAAATTAAATACAAGATTTTTCATACGTTGTTTTTACAAAAAATGCACACCTTATAAAATACTTGTGCGCTATTTTTTTTTAGATATTTCAAGATTAAACATCGATAAAATTAGATATTTAAATGAAAAATAAGGATTTTAATTACCTGTTTGTTATAATATTCATAAATACTATTCGTAGTAGGGACTAGAAACTTTTGGCCACTGCGTAAGATATTATTTATTATACACAATTTAATTTTCAAAATATTTATTGATTCATTTTAGGCAATTTATTCTATGAACATATTCACACTGTTCTATTATACCTTAGTATTAACTCAATTTAATATAATAATAGTTATTAGTTAGTATAATATATGATATGTTATTATTTTTTTTTTTAATTAATTAATTTAAGCTAATAGTAAAAAAAAAAAACTGTAAGTTGACAGTCTGTCTATGTTTAGAAACGTCATCGTTTACCACGATTAATCATTGAATTAAAATTTATCGGGATAAACCTGTTGGTTTATTGCACGGTTTATTATTTCATTTGCATACCACAGATACTTTGTATACGGTAATAAAAAACTTGTAAAAATTGATCGCTAACACTTATACGCTAAAATTAAGCCAGGAAATATCACTCAGTACACTGCATGAACATAAAACAATAACAAAAATATTACTATATACTTAAAATAATAGCCATCAAGCTTCTAAATTTATATATGACTTACAATTGACAATACATTTTCTAAAAATACTCAAAACCTGTACATAACACGAAAATAAAACTATTATATAATGGATTGAATTTTTAAGTTTATATAACTCATAGTTAATTGTTCATACAGACTTACTATTTTTTAAAACAAATAATTTTAAATATTTTTAGGCAATATGTATATATTATCTGTGATATTAATAAATATTTATTTATTTCTATTAGAAATCTATAATAACATTATAGGATTACATATCCCCTTAAATATGTAATATTAAATTATGCAAAATGCATACATATTTTTCTACCTGAACAGTACAAATTGTACGCCATGTTGACTATCGTTACTATACCTATAATAATACAATCTGTCTGCGGTTTTCATTTTTTCCATGTGACCGTACAGTGTTCTACAAGGCTACAACCAATTTATTAGTGACCTACTCAATGATTAGGCACACTCAACATTTATAACTATACAGCAGTACAACTTCTCCGACCTTTTTTATAAATAGATTGAATATTTCATTTTATGATTTGAATAAAATTAATGATTTTTTTATTACTTGTTAAAGTAAACCGAGAAAAATATTGCTTCACTATGTTTTAAATATTTCCAATCTTGAAATTAACCATTTTATTAAACATTATATAATTAATTATTACTTTATATATTTGCGTTTAATTCAAACAAAAGTAAACAAAAAAAATAAAAAAAAATTTTTTTTAATGTAATTTTTGCAGAATTTTGTTATTTTAATTTACTCAAAAATGTAATTAATTTAATTATAGGTTAATAATAAATGTAAAATTAATTATTTAAGACCTTATCATTTTATTATGTTAGTATATTTTGTATATTTTTACTTATTTTAAAGTAGGAAAGGTTATTGATCCCAACGAAATAATCGTATGTTTAAGTAGGTATAATATTAATGACATATTTTTATTAAACATACGAGATAACTATGTGTCTATGTTATTTTTTATAATATTGTTATAATACCTGATAACTTAATATTTATAAAGTGTGAGTTACTGTATTTTTTACTTATATTATTAACTTCACTAAAAACACGATGGCCCACTGTCCAAACCATTCTGTATTTATGAATACTTGACAAGTCAAGAGTGATTGATGTGCGGTATCGTAGTGTAATTACACCACAACGTTTATAAATATTTATCTAAGCTGTCAGCATTCTAAAATATATGTTTTGAACATTATTTGTTTAGCTTGTAAAATAATTACTATCCACAAATACCACAAAAAATAATATACTTCATGAGAAAATAAAATTTTTTTGATTTTTAGTATTATACATTTATACATGGCTTTTTATTAGTATCTACTTTAAAAGATATTAAAACGAATTTACCTGGTTGCCGAAAACTCCTAAGGAACAAGCAGTAGAGACTTCGGTTGATCCAAACCAAACCGCTGCTAATCTGGAAGGCAAACTCAGTATGAATGCTTGTGAACACGCCACCAAACCTTGTCCCAGCAACGTTGTCAAAAATCGACCCGGCTCAGCAGAAAGAACTTTAATCCATGCGCCCAGACATGTACCAGCAGCTCCCATCACCATCGTCACTTTGAGGCCCTAAAATATAAATACAACTTATAATCAAATGTATGACAAATGGCAATATAGTTTATTCGTTTATATATATATATACAATATAATATGTTTTTCGTTTATTTTTTAATAAACTATTTTATAATTTTAAAATACTTTACATTTTCCAAATTTCTACAAAATATAATACTGAGCATAAAAAACATAACAGCAATTACCTCTAAGTGAAATTTGTATGAGCATTTAATATGAATCTAAATTTAAATTTAGAGATTTTTAAAAATAATTAATTATTAGATAAAGATTGATGTACTTTTATTTCCATATGATTATTTAAATAACTAAACGACAATATTATAACAATATACATAATTAAAATTATTTTTGATTTGAAACCGAGTATATTAAGAATACATTAATCAAATAATATGTATAAATAAATCAGTGTTTGTAATTTAATTATTATATCGTGTAGTTAATTGATAACCCTGATAGCACCAAATTTATTAATTTAAAATATTTGATTGTCCTTGTGGTGTAGGGACCATAGTCTTCATTTACATGGTACGTACTGCGAGCCACGTGTTATCACTTATATGTGTGCTATTCAATAATTTATTGTTTTTATACGAATATGATCATCAAAAAAGATTTAATGTTAGTTCGTATTTATGTTTAGTCTAATTAAATTTATCTACAAAACATTAAGTTACTAAATAACAAATATTTATTTAATTATAATTATTGATATTTTGTAAAATTGGAGGTTAATATGTATTTAAGGATTATACAATATTATTAATGATTTTTTTTTTCAAAATTTACGAACTTTAGTAACAAATATGTTTGCAAAAGTATATTAATTTAAATTTAAATTTACTATTTATTAGTCATTAATTTAAAGTTTAATTTGAACGTAGCAAAATAATTTTTTAAACATTTTTGACAGAAAAAGCTACTCATACTCTATACGTTATTTGTCAACCAGAAATTTTCGGTCTAATCCATTTGAAAAATACAGTCAACGTAATGCTACTTCATATCAAAGTTAAGAAATCACAATGTTCTTCACACTAAATTCGCTAATTACAAAATTATATCTATTGTTTAATTATGCCCTTTACAAACCGCTGACAAAAGAAACAACATAAAATTAAAAAGTATTCTCATATTCGAAATTTTCAATATTTGGACTATACTTCTAAGTATTGATACCAATCTTGATGATCTACTCAGAAATTAAACTAGTTATTATTTATACATCGAAGACTTCAAAAATATTCTAACAAGGTAGATATATTAAAATGTATACCGAACTTTTCAAAACCGATAGTAATATGAAAATATAGCTACTGTAAATAATTTGGAAGTAATTATATACAAGCTATATACTTGTATTTACATACATCCATATATATAGCAGTGATAGCAGTGTCTGTTAAATAAATTGTTGTTAAAAAACTTTTTGAATATGTTCTTAAAATCAAAAAGATTACCAATTATTCTAAACGATTCTTTAAGCACTGCAGCTAACACGCATAAACTTAACGGGTAATAATGTAGCAAAGCAAATTTTCCATCGTAATTTTCATCCATTAATCAAAGGAGACTTCATAACATTATTGTCGTTATCAGATTACTTGACAATTAAAGGTATAGAAAAAGTCAAAATAGGTACATACCGAGAATAGAAATATTTCTATCACCGCATTGCCACAAAAATATTACATTTATCATTTTTCACGATTTTAAAAGAATATTAAGACTAAATGCCTTTCAATTTTTGCAAATCCTTTAGTTAAAACAAAAAATAAAAAATAAAAATAAAATTAAGTTTAATACTTTTCATAAATATTACGAGTACCATTCTTCATAATAATCATTTTCACGTGTGTTTTTCTCCAGGAGAAGAAAAAAACGATCATCAGACTAAAAATAATAGATCATACCTACACTTGCCCTCGGTACACATGCTATCTAGCGAAGAGCCTCCACTATGGATGACACGCACTGTTATACCCATCAAACACATACACACGAAATGTGACATTTATTTCGTAGTACCATGAATCAAGAGACATATCCAACAAATTATTCAATAATATATTTGAAAGTTTGAGTTGAACTTTTAATTGTCTACTTAATCCTTTAATCGGAATTGAATAACCTATTAAGTAATTTAGTGTGAGGTGTACTGAAACATTTATTATTTATTTTCACAAATGTGTAATTTCCAATGGCGATAGTATCGAGGGTTACTCTAAAATAACTTTATTAATTAAGTCACATTGCTCGAATCTACTTACGAATAAATTATACATACGAATATATAAATAGGTATAAGGCGCATCAGGGTAAAGGGTATATTACACCAATGCAGGGTTTAAAACCAATTTGTAGGAGGGTTGGAAATGTTGTAAATTTTTTACGATTTTAATCGATCGTTAGACTTCTATTGATATATTATGACTTGTATATTGTTATATATATACAGTAGGGTCTCGTTAATCCAAATGAGAATGGGGAAAGGGATCATTTGGATTAACGATTTGTTCGGATTACTTATGACTTGAAAAAAATCAATTCTCTTGCAATTTAAACTTTTAAATTAATCTTTATCCATAATGCAGTATTAATTCATAAAATTCGTTGTTGAAAAACACAATGAATACAATCAAAGTCGACAAAATCATTATAACTATGTATAAATATAGTCAGTTAATAAGTACATGTAATGCATATTACTATGAATTATGATACACGAGTGTATTAGCATAGCGATGCGGCAATTTCCAAGTCCGTTCGGATTACCGAGACCCTACTATGTAATATAATATGGACAATGATGACAAAATTTTTTATTTCGATGTTAATGTTATCATCGTCAATTGCAGTATTCTAACGTATTTTAACAACTGCAATAACAATAATCAACCGCCACCATGACTTTTATCACCACCACAACGGTAAAAACGTTATACCAATCGACCGCAATACAACACTAACCAGTCGGTCAAGAATCCAGGACGCTGGTACGACCAGCGGAACGTACACGATCATGTATATGGTGGATGTGGTGTCTATAGCGAAGTTTGACACGCCGTAAAACTTCACCATGATGTTGGATATGATGCTGTACTGTATCCAGTGTACGGCGTTGGCCATGGAGTACAACATGTATACGACCAGTATTATCCACCGGGCCTTGTACAGTCTCAGGTCATCCTGTTGGAGGATCGTTGCCTGGGGGTCAGGCGACGGATGCGAATGTTCCGGCCCCAGCCCCGGCCCCGGCTTATCAACTTTTTGCATAACCGAAGCGAAATCGGCCATCGCTGTACGTGCGTCTGATTGACTGCTCCGTTGTATCGCATCAATGCGAACAGGCACGGATAATATTCGCGACTGGGGCAGGATCGTCTCGCAATCGTGTCCGTATAATCGTTTTAAACGGTTACAATCACGGTCGGTAACCGCAGTACCAATTTATAATTCACATCGAGTGAAAGGGGGGAAGGGGATTCAGCTGATTTCATCTAATCGGACATATATGGCTTAGGTAAAAAAAAAAAAAAAAAAATCATTTGGGATGTATTAATTACAAGACCAATATTATGTGCAGATAGATCAAGTCATAAAATAAAACGTACGTAGATATATATATAAACCTATAGTAAATTTGTTGAGCCATGTTATATATACATATATGCTTTAACGCAGATAATGTGACATATCTGTATAGCGTAAGACAGTTAATATTAGGCAATCACATAAGATATATAACCATTAAATAATAATATTAAAGTTCAAAGTGAACTTGCAGAGATTACAGAGTTATATTCAAAAACTACAAAAAAATTTCAAAGATTAAATTTAATTTTACATAATTTTTCAATGATGTTATTAATATAAATACAAGTTAAACGTAAATGCATTTCTGTTTCATTTTTCAAATTAATATCTATTAATTTCAAATTATTAGTTCTTACTTTCATAGTTTTATGTGTAGTAGAATAAATATTAAAATTAATTAAAACCAGAAAATAATCGGTAGGACAGTAAATGTAAAATTATGTATTAGGTACAATGCAATACAATGTAATGAATAAAAAAATAAATATAATTGTAGATTTATAAGAAAATTAAATTGAAATACGCATGTTGTAATTTTAGGTGTACAAACATAGGCAAATAAACAAACATAATATAAGAAAGGGAATTGGTATTAACCAGTGATAGATAGCGCCACATAAATTTATTTTGAATGCAAAAAGACTCCAACCGTAGATAATATTTTATTATAATTAGGGCTAGGGTTTATACGCAAAGTATGTTTTTTTTGTAACTTCTGATTATTACAAAATACCTCACGAATCACCTCATGATAAGATAAACAGTGGTGTTTTTATTTTGCATAATATTTTGGACAACATTAACATTATTGCATATTTCGACTATAAAAACGCGAACAATGCATGTTTTATGGTATAATTTCGTTGCTACTGTTACTAAACATTTTGATCGTGTGCCAGTATGTATTGACGATGTTCAAAAATACCTATATAAAAACATGTTAAGGTTTAACAGTAGCTCGTTCAGTTTTTAAAATTTAAAAAACCATTTAAAATTCTTTTGTATAATACATTTGAATAGCGTGAATATTTAAGAATATTATTCTGTTAATTTTAAAACGTATGATTTTTTTTTCGAGTGTATATAATATTATAATTGTATATTTTGCTTATCTTTAATAAGCCAAACGCATATTTTACAATTTTTTATTGCATATAAATCCTAATCCTAATTATGATCTATGATACCATTGAAAAGCAAAACAAAAAACAAAGGCTAATAGTGGTTCGACACTCGTCTCACTTTGGGTACTTGACACAGGATGGTAGTTTATTTTATGACGATTAAAAATCAGATTATAATGATAAATTAAAAAATTAAAAAAACAAAATCAATTCTCAGCAGATTTAGTTTTATTATAGCTAGGGTACGGGTTCAGGTGCGTGCCATCCCTTCATATTCCCTCATGTTATAGGTAATATTTATAGAACTACTTAAAAACGTGAGTCGCTTATAAAATTAATAATGATTAAACATTTTAAACACTTATTGAATAATTTAATATTATCTAAACTTACAAATTGATATGGTTCTCAAAAATAAAAATGTATCAATGACATACAATTTAATATATCAATCGTAATTATTCAAATTTAAAAACCAAATAACGAATTTAACTCGATTTGAAAAATTAAACTTTTTTAAGTTTTTAAAATTATTGTGATAACTGGTTAATGGTTAGCAAAATATTACGATTAAATTTATAACTAATATTTTTTAATCATGGCAAGTGACAAGCCGGGCAAGAGATACTCTGTACACATTTGTTGTCCTTCACTTTTCCCATCTAAACTTAAAAAGTAATAATAATATGAAAAGAAATAATTATTGATATATGACTATTTTCAAATCTAATATCACAACATAAAAAAATATATTAATTATTATCCTGCACAGTTTAATTATAAATTTATAATTTTTTTTATAAATATAAAAAAAACTTATTTTTTAATTCATATAATATATTATATTATAGAATAATTAAATCTGCATTTATGGTATATAACAATTAATAGTGCTAATAAGTTATCATATTTTAAGATATTTTAATTAACTTAGCTTTTGAAATATCACCTTTTTTAAATGAAAATGAAAACTGTTGACCTATAGCTAGTAATAACAAACCTAATCAGTAATCACCAATAATTACATTTAAAAAAAATAATATATATGTGCTTATATAATCAATTAAAAGGGGTGTATTGGTAGTGGAACCACTTGTTTACATTTACTTTATTCTTAATTTGTCGGGCAAATTACCTGTTGAAGACCTTTTGAAGTCAGTAATGGACATTTTTTTTTTATTAATATAAAATCGACTTTTTTAATTCTTTTAAATATTCATATTTTTTTAATAAATTAAAAACACACACACATACAAAAACACGCACACATAAAATACACAAATGATAATATGCTGTATACTAAATAATTGAACAACATTAGTATTTTAATTATTTCTTTATGGTTGAGCTATAGTAGTATATAGACGTTATGAAGAAGCCTACTTTCATTATGACGAACGCGTGCGATAAGGACCTGCATGAATTATTATATTAGTCAGGAGTAAGGACATTTTTTTTTTTAAAGAAGTTGTCTGTGGGTGTCTGAAACACGTATAAGTACAGCATTTTCCGGGCGTACTGCCGTGCATGCAAATATCGTCTAACCACGGTTCCTCACACACTCACATATATATATATTTTATAAAGTTGTCTGCTGTTATACACACACACACATATATATATATGTGTGTGTGTACACGTAGAATACGGCTGAAGCCGGTGGAGTTTGATTAAATGATGTGTGTTGTCGTCCGTATAGGTGGCAATAAAATGCGCAATATATGATGTGTATTATATCCAAAGTTCGGTTTCGCGAACACATGCGCCCTACTATACCAATATAATATATATATAAATATATATATATATCTTATTATATTTGTGAGTTATTCAAACATTCTGGAGATTCTTGGACCGAAACGATTTTAATATATCACCTTTGGACGGTAAGGAATATATAATATATGTATATAAAGTGTGTGAATGTATATATACATATATTATACACATACACCGTAGTCGTGTGCATATGTATAACCGGAATCCTATTCGTCTTTCACTACGTCCGGACTGTTCCTCGCATACATCTACCTATATTCCCGCATACATCTATCTACATTATATTATTATATATTCACGTATAATATGTGCTCGTGTGACTTCCAACAGAACAAAAATGGCACATCGGCAAACCATCAGCATCACAATATACTATATTATAATATAATATAAGTATATTGTAAACGTGCATGGCGACGTATTTAAATGTTATAGTTTTATTATTTATTTTCTGATAATAATAGTGCTAATATCTACGTGATATGTATATTACCTAAATTATTTTTAGAATCATCGCCGACCAGTTCCCATATTATACGTTATACACACTTGTATTTTTATGTATGATATCCTGTCATACATAGGATATTATGTTATTATGCTATTATGCTATGTAGTATATATTATGCTGATTCACATTCCGTTGTTACCAATTATTGTCTAAAAGCAACAGAATTAAAAATTTGAATTTAGTATGTTAAAATGCGTTCAACACTTGTTTATACTACTTGTAAAATATAGGCGTTGTTGATTGAAAAATAATAACTTTATCAATAATAAGTTAAAAAGCATATAGATTTTAATCTCACTTGAGTTTAAGTTATACAAAAAAATTATGAAATAATAATTTGCCGTGTGATATATTACACCAGATCTATTAAATTTACAAGACATTGCATATGTAAAATTAATAGATTTTTCAAACTATTAGGCTTTAGAGTTTCGAGTTTTTAGCAAACAATTATCATCGGATAAAATATATTCGAGGTATACGAGTCGTTTTCTATTCCGATATTTTCTGTACACGACATTAAGTTACACAAAAAAGAAAAAAGAAAAAAGAAAAAAGATGAAGATTGTTAAAGATATAATAATTAGAACATAATATAAATTTTTATTTATTTTAATTGTATAGTCGATCATAATTTCGTTTTTAATGTTTCTAATTATTTAATCATTTGTAACTCAGCTACTTTGGTGGGTTATGACCTCACATTCACTTCATTGACTAAACATTAAAACATACATCAGCTACCTACGTTGTAGTTTCGTAATTTTCTATTGGAATTCATCTTCAGCGACTACTTATCATCTATTTCAATGACTAGTCGACTTGATCACTCCGGTGGCGCCAGCTATTCCAGTTTTTCGTTTACCAACATTAAGGCGGTTAGTGATGGTGTTATCCAAATTTTTGCCATTCAACAACTTGAACTTTATCCGTACCAGTGAATTAATTTCGTACCAAGACGGATTTGCAAAACAAAGGTTAAGACAAAATATTAAAGTTTATGACGTTTAATGGTGACAATAGATAGGACAGTTTCATACTTTCATTTCTTAAACTTTTACGCGAAATCAGATTTTAACTAAATTGATTTCTTTATTTTATTATAATTAAAAAACGAATTACCACAGAAACTTAAAAAATTTCATCAAGTAATCATTTTTTATAAATGGTATAATTTTTAAAATGTTTTGATTTTTTAAAATTATTTATCGAAAATTTAACTATTAACGTTAATAAAAAAATTATGAATAGATAAAAATGACAAGATTTCTAAGTAGTTCATAAGTGGTTCATTTCCCAATTAAAAAATATCAAAAACTATTAGTCACAATATTTACCTATAAGCATTTAAAGTTAGAATTTTGACAAAATTCATAGA